CCTCCCTGGCTGGGAGGGGACCACCTTCCTTTTTTGTCAGCTTTTAGTCTCAAGGCCAGCCTGAATACCGCTACCTCCCCTCCCTCCTGGGAGGATGAGGAGTAGGGAGCCTGGAAAATACTGCCCTTATCATCCTGCTGGCATTCATTGCTGAGTCCCAGGACTGCCAGGTGTTGTGCTGGTCTCAGCATCTCTGACTCTTCAGGACCATCTTGCTGCTTCTCCCAGCTCCAAGCAGCTGCCTCATGAGCCACAGACCATTCCCTCCCTCATTCCAGTATCAAATGGTCACTACCACCTTGCTGATCCTTTCTCTTTCGGTGGAGGAGAGTGGGGAGTCGGGGGGAAAGCAGCAGCTCTTTCCTGAGCTAAGGATGTTTGTGATGAGTGTTCCCTTGCAGACTAGTATTTTATTTTCTAGATGAGCCTTAATAAGAAATAGCTCCTGGGCCGGCCCTGTGGCTTAGCGGTTAAGTGTGCGCGCTCCGCTGCTGGCGGCCCGGGGTTCGGATCCCGGGTGTGCACCAACGCGCCGCTTCTACGGCCATGCTGAGGCCGCGTCCCACGTACAGTGACTGGAAGGATGTGCAGCTATGGCATACAACTATCTACTGGGGCTTTGGGGGAAAAAATAAATAAATAAAATTATAAGATTCCTCATGTCTGTTAAAAAAAAAAAAAAAAGAAATAGCTCCTCATTCCACCAGATGTCTTGGTCTGCTATCTTGGTTCTCTGTCCCCTGGATCCCTGACTCTCTGCAGCTTTGCCTTCACTTTGTTTCTGAAAAGAGACTTCAGACGGTTCTTCTGCCTTATGTTGGGATTGGATGGCTTGGCATGAGGTATTAATCTTGTGTGCAATCATTTGATGTCCATTGATTGTCCTGGAGCTCATCATCATCTGGGGACATAATTTTGCTTTACTCTGGCCTCTTAATTTTCCCTCGGGACCTGCTGGGTTGTAGGGAAAGAGGAGGAAGAATTTGCCCTAGCCCTGCAATCTGTTTTTGGGTTTCCCTGGCCAGGAAGCTTCCAGCTGTGGGTTGGGTTGGGGCTAGAGGGGGGTGGCTGGAAGGTGGGCGGGGGGGAAGAGGGGTGCCTCTGACTTCACTCGGATTGTTGGCTACAGCTTCTAGGGCCAGATCCTGCCTGTCCTCCATGTCGGGATGGCAAAATGACAGGGAAACCCTGAGGTTCTTAATTTTAGGGAATCAGGACTTCTAGGGGGTGTCAGCATCACCTTCGGTTGCTGTGAATAGTAAATGTTAGGACTGGAAAGCCACCATATTACAGATGAGGAAACTGATTTGTCCACGGCCACATGGCCAGGACCAGAACCCGGTGCTTGAATCTCTGCTCCCTGCGCCTTTTGTTACACCATGAAAACTTTCATCTCTCTCTTCCCCCATAGCTGCCTCCTTTGATGCCCTCTCCCTTCCCCCTCCTCACTCAGGATGCTCCAGACCTTGTATGACTACTTCTGGTGGGAACGGCTGTGGCTGCCTGTGAACTTAACCTGGGCTGATCTCGAAGACCGAGATGGACGTGTCTACGCCAAAGCCTCAGACCTCTATATCACACTACCCCTGGCCTTGCTCTTCCTCATCATTCGATACTTCTTTGAGCTGTGAGCATACCAGCCTACCCCCATGCCTTCCCTGGCTGCCAGCCACACAGTTTCTTACACTTCAAGTTTGTCTCTTGCTGTTTAATTGGTCCTGGACCTTGGTGTTCTGGCCACCCAGGTCCCTGCCTACTGTGTGTCCCCCACTGAAGGCAGCATTGTCTTCCTGAGGACTCAGCACCCCCAGGCCCTTTCCTTCAATGGTTATTTGTTCTCACCCTCCACCCAGCCCGGTCACTAGTGAACACAGGCAGCTTTGTCAGCTGTGGGCAGCCCAAGGAGGCCAGAGAGGGGGTTGCCGGGAAACTGAGGCCCAGGATAAAGTTGCCTGAGCTTGCAGTCCTTTCCTCTCCCAGCTTTGGGGCTACCAAGAGGTGCTTCAAGAGAGCCAGACACTTCTCACTCATATCCCTTCCCCAGTTATGTGGCTACACCACTGGCTGCCCTCCTGAACATAAAGGAGAAGACTCGGCTGCGGGCACCGCCCAACCCCACCTTGGAGCATTTCTACATGACCAGCGGCAAGCAGCCCAAACAAGTACGAGCTGCAGACCCGGCTCTGGGAGTTACTGAGTTCTGGTGGGAGGGGGAGGGTCGGAGTGCCAGCTCTGGTGGGTGAAGAGATGGGAGAGCAGTGGTGCTGACTCAGGTTATTACTGGAAGAGGGTAGGAAGGTGGGGGGCACTACCGAGTTCTGAAGCCAAGCATAATAAATGAAGCTCCTTTATGACACCCAGGTGGAGGTAGAGCTTTTGTCACGGCGGAGTGGGCTCTCTGGCCGCCAGGTAGAGCGCTGGTTCCGCCGCCGCCGTAACCAGGACCGGCCTAGTCTCCTCAAGAAGTTCCGAGAAGCCAGGTAGGGGAGGTTGGGGCAAGAGAAACCAGGTGGCAGAGGAAGGTCTGATGTACCTTGCTGGGAGGGTGGGCCATGGCCGTATGCAGGGAGAGATTGTGCCCACGTGACGAGGTGAATTTGGTTTTTAGTGATATTCTTGAGAGGATATCTGGGGGGACTTAGGGGTTGTTGGAGGGCTGTGCCATTCTCCTACCCCACTCCTAGCCATTTCCGCTTCCTCTTCCAGTTGGAGATTCACATTTTACCTGATTGCTTTCATTGCTGGCATGGCCGTCATTGTGGATGTAAGTGGGGATTACTGGGAGGTGGGAGTAGGCTCTCTGGCAAGGTGGGGTGAGGCCATAGAATTTGGGGTCCTCCTCTTTTAACCTTTCACTCTCTCTCTGCAGAAACCCTGGTTCTATGACATGAGGAAAGTTTGGGAGGGATATCCCATACAGGTATGAGATGGGGTCCCGAATCCTTATATGGGGGTGATTAAGAGAATCAAGGTAGGATAGGACTAGGACATACATACCCTTGTGCAGAGATGATCTATGGAGCAGGTGGCAGAAGGGACTGGAGTCATGGTGCTAAACGCAACCTCAGGGGCTAGAAGGGCTGGGTTTAGAGAGGTGAGACCCTTGGGTCCAGTTGCTCTGGGGTCCCTTACCTTTTCTCTCCTCTCTCCCAGAGCACCATCCCTTCCCAGTACTGGTACTACATGATCGAACTTTCTTTCTACTGGTCCCTGCTCTTCAGCATTGCCTCTGATGTCAAGCGAAAGGTGGGTCAAGGGGCTGTGCCATTAAGCCTATGAGCCAGAATGAAGCCCTGGGATGAATAGCCTCCCCTTTGATTTCTGGGTGCTTTGGTTGGAGCTGTGGGATAAGGGGAACTAAGATGAGGGGGAGGAAGAAGGAATAGTGAGGGCTGAGGAATAGGAAAAAGTCCCCTGGAGCCTGTGTCTTTTCTGCAGGACTTCAAGGAACAGATCATCCACCATGTGACCACCATCATTCTCATCAGCTTCTCCTGGCTGGCCAATTACATCCGAGCGGGGACTCTCATCATGGCTCTGCATGACTCTTCAGACTACCTGCTAGAGGTCAGGCTTCCTGGGCATTGCTTCAAACCTAGAAACCCTGGTACAGGTTCTTCTGTCCCTCTGTCCTTGTTTTTTTTGGTAGTGCTGGGAGGGGTTGACATTCCTGGGACCAAGTCGGGGGACAGAGCCAGTGGTAACTGGGGTGTACATATGAGTGTATATGGGAGAGTCAGGAGCCCATGATGATGGATGGGGGCTATCTATGCAGTCAGCCAAGATGTTTAACTATGCGGGATGGAAAAACACCTGCAACAACATCTTCATCGTCTTCGCCATTGTCTTCATCATCACCCGACTGGTCATCCTGCCCTTCTGGTGAGTAGGAGGCCAGACTATACTCCTGTTCTCAAGAAATCAGGAGTCTTGCCTCCCCCTGCTCATTTATCTATCCTCCATCTTAACCCCTTCCTTTCTGTGTGTACAATTCTGTCTCTCCCTTCCTGTCCCCAGGATCCTCCATTGCACCTTGGTGTACCCACTGGAGCTCTATCCTGCCTTCTTTGGCTACTACTTCTTCAATTCCATGATGGGAGTGCTACAGCTGCTGCATATCTTCTGGGCCTACCTCATTTTGCGCATGGCCCACAAGTTCATAACTGGAAAGGTGAAGTCTCTGTCCCTGTTGTGTAGGCCCTCCTACCCTCAACTCTAGAAACTGCCCCAACTCCCTCCCATACCAGGAACTTTCTAAAAAACTACTCTGAGGCTCTGGGTATAGCTGGAACAAGCCCATGGAGAGAGGCAGTTCTTAGGGGTTTGAGGACATCCTGTAACACTTCTTATCCCTTTCCACAGCTGGTAGAAGATGAACGCAGTGACCGGGAAGAAACAGAGAGCTCAGAGGGGGAGGAGGCTGCAACTGGGGGAGGAGCAAAGAGCCGGCCCCTAGCCAATGGCCACCCTATCCTCAATAACAACCATCGTAAGAATGACTGAATCATTGTCCCTACTGCCCCTCAGATTAATGCATAAAGCCAAGGAACTACCCCACCCTCCCCATAGGGTCACTTTAAGCTCTGGGGAGAAAGGAGAAAGCAGAAAGTGAGAGGAGAGAGTTCTTCTCTGTGTCCCCACCCCTGCTTCTTTGTCACCCAGTTGCCTTTAAACCACATTCTAACCAGCCTATCCTCAGGTGGAGGAGAGGTTGGTTATATCCTTTGTTAGAGGGGATGGTCTCACTTTCCAGTTGTCCTTTCTATTGCTTTTGAGACCCTTCCTCAGCTCTGGGGGTGGGGGTTACAACTCACATTCCTTATTCTTCAGAATTTGGCCCTAGCTGTTTGCCTTTGACTCCCTGACCTCCAGAGCCAGGGTCGTTCGTGCCTTACTGTCCCATCTGTGGGCCTCATTCTGCCAAAGTTGGACCAAGGCTCACCTTTCTAAGCTCCCTAACTCGGGCCAGAAACCAAAGCTGAGCTGACTTTAACTTTTCCCCCTCCTAAGACGCAAGTGAATTGAGTGTAGGAGGGTGCACATGACCCTTACCCTACCTCTGCCAAAAAGTGGGGGCCATACTGGGAACTGCTCAGATGGTCTTTGTGTGACCTCTCTGCCAGCTGTCCCTATAGTCACAGGTCCAAGATCGTACTGCCTCCTTTCTCTGGCCTCTTCCCCTAGGCTAGCTGGTTTGGAGTAGAATGGCAACTAGTTCTAATTTTTATTTATTAAACATTCGGGGTTTTGGTTCTAAAGCCAGAATTACAGCTAGCACCTGGCATTTCAGCAGAGGGACCATTTCAGACCAAAATGTACTGTTAATGGTTTTTTTTAATTAAAATATATTAAAGATTAAGTAAAACATAGCAACAAGTGTGTGAGACTATTAGGAATTGAAAAGGGGGCTCAACTAAATAAACTAAGGTAGTCTTCCTCATGCCTTCCTCATGGTTATGTAACATTTTCTTTTTTAAATTTCACATGGCAAATAAGAAAACACAAAGGTACAGAAGGTATGAGATTAATGACAGCTGCTGATTGGGAAGGATGGGGGGAAACAGATTTCTCATCGAAAGACCCAGAATTGGGAGTATGGGGGCTGAGGGAGAGAAATCAAATCACAATCTTAGTTTTAACATCTTTTTCTTGTATTCAAGAAACAATACAAACCAGGGATAGTAAATACACAGCCCTCATTCCAGGAATAAAGTCTGTTAGAAGCATGAACACTTGAACAAAGGCAGGATGGGAGGGATGAGCGCCAGGACTGAAAGGACGTCAGGCCCAGGTTAGAGTGGTAACCTCTCCCCGCCCCCTAGTGGAGGAGGGACCCTGCCTGCTAGCACCACATTGGAAGGGATCTCCTGACCCAAAACCCCCATCTCTATCTACTAGGAGCTGGGGGAGTAGCTAGACCGGAGACTTGGGAGTCAGAGTTCAACAGTCAGGAGGACCCAGTTCCTGAGGAAAGGACAGTTCAGGAAGGGTTCAGAAGGCGGCTGTCCTCTAAAGAAGACGCCCTCTGCATTCGATGGCCCCACAGCAGCAGAGCAACTCCTTGCCTTCCACACTGCCCACCTCGTAGTTGTAGTCCCAAGTAAGTTCTGTCCCAGCCCGGATTCTCCTAAAGAGGAAGAAAAGGATGGGGTGTGTGTGGTGAAGACAGCAGATAACCCAGGCGCCTGGGGTTACAGAGTATAGGTGGAGCTGGAACACAGACAGAGCAGGGGAGCAGGGGCGCTTAGAATTTCAATAGCCCTTGCCCCTCCCCAATCCAGGGCTTCTCCTACCCAACCATCCCCTCTCCTGACTCCCTCTTACTTGCTGGCAAAGAAGGCCACCCAAGGGAAGCGAAGATCGTGAGTATCCACGAAGACATTCTGGACAAACAGGTTGGGGCTGCAACTGTGCTGTAGGTTTAAGGACAGGATCAAGTAAGACAAGGAAACAGAATCTGGCTTTGTGGGGTGAGAGGTGGACTAAAAACGATGCCATCTGATCCTCCCCATCATAGCAGAGAAGTTTTGAAAGAAAGCTACCTCTTTAAAAGAACTAGAAATCTGAGGACCATGGGATAATCTAGCATCTAGAGGTGAGGGAGAGGGGTCTCACATTGAGGTAACGGCCCAGGTTGCCTTCAAGCTTGGCATCGATGATGTAGCAAGACTCCTCACCATCGTAGAATTGGCGTGTGTTCTTACGAACAGGTGCGCTTTCCCCCTTTTCCACAGAAGCCATGTTGGTTGATTTAATGGCAATCCCATGGGTTGATTTAAGAGCAAAGCCTCGGGTTGATTTTACTGCCACTTGGCGCTTCAACGGACCTGGACAGGAAGGAGAATGGGGTCAGGACCTATCCCACCTCATGACTTGACATTCTACCCCCATTTTCATTCCACCCATTGCAGCTCAGGAATAACAATAAGCTGAGACTCTGAGGCAGGATTAGATCTGGATAAAGGAGCTGAAGGAAAAGAGTAGAAAACTGGGAGAGGGGAAGGGGACGTGTCAATAACAGTTTAGCTGGAAGTCAGGGAGCCCTCCCAGAGATTCTTCAACTCTTAGGATCTGAAATTTTTCCCCTACTTCTTTAGCTTCCTTAAAAAATCCTTTATCCCAACTTTCCTACTGTTCCTTCCTATGACCCCTCAAATTCTTCCAGACTACCAGACATGTTCTTCTTGTCCTCAAAGTCATCCCCTTCAGAGCCAGAGGAGATGGTCTGGATATCATCACTGTCAACCGCTGTGGCTGAAGTCTGACCAGCAGTGGGCTTTCGGCTGGTCCCACTTTCCCCCTCACTTTCTGTGCTGCTGGACAGTGTCAGGACATCCTGGGGAAACAGAAAGGTGAGAAGAAGGAAGAGTAAATGGGGAGGGCCCCTTCAAGTCCTTGTTCTTACCTATGGTTAGACAGGAAGGGGCTGAGACTATATACCAAGAGGAAGATTAGATGTGGAATGAAGGAAAATGAGGCAGGAAGTCAAAGCCAATGAAACAAGAAAAGATCTAACTAGTTATGGTGAAGGACTTGATGAGGTGAGGAGAATGTTCCTTTACTCAGACTCTGAATAAAACAGAAGGCTGGGGAAGGTACAGCTTGAGAAAGTAGATCACTTACATCAGGGTTGGACTGAGCAGAGGCCAGGAGTCGTCGGCTCTGATGCATACTAGTCTTACTAGGGGGGCGGCGAAGTCCTTCAGGCTTCACAGGAGAAGGATTATAACCATAATTTCGACAGCTTTCAGTAACTCTGATGGAAGGGGAAGGAATGAGAGGGGGTCGGGGTATTGGCTGTTTCTTAGGCTTCTTTTGTGGGCTTGAGAGAAGGCAGATTTGGAAACAGGTCAAAAAGAGAGGCACTTACATTGACATCTTGTTTCGGTCATCAGGGTCCTGGAAAAGAGAGCAAGTAGAGGGTTAAATGTTTTCATGGTTCTAGGTAACGAAACCAACAACTAGACTTCATTTCAAATGACTCCAAAGACATTAGCCAGTGACAGGTACACTAAATCTAAGTGGGGTATGTGTGCAGAAATTACTCTGCAACTTGATAGTAACACTCATATTCTCATCAGGAACCCCCCCTGGGAGGGGTCTTTAACGCTTCCCAATGATAGGGCATAAAATGTTCATGGAAAACACTATGGGCAAAGTCTTACAAGGACAAGGGACACAGTTCACCACCTGTAATGTGGTTAAGTTTCAACATCATTAAAAATCTATTTAAAATCAATTGTTTTTCTACTCTAATAGAAGGAAGCAATGATGTAGATAACTTGAAATAGCACTTAATTAAAAAAATTTACTTTCGAACCCTTCACTTTGGAATGAATCAGATACTTTTTCCCCCCAGCAAGTTGATTTTAAAATAAATTGGTGGGGGCTGGCCTGGTGGCGCAAGCAGTTAAATGTGCACGCTCCGCTGCGGCGACCCGGGGTTCGCCGGTTCGGATCCCGGGCGTGCACCGACGCACCGCTTGGCAAGCCAGGCTGTGGCGACATCCCATATAAAGTGGAGGGAGATGGGCACGGATGTTAGCCCACGGCCAGTCTTCCTCAGCAAAAAAAGAGGAAGATTGGTAGATGTTAGCACAGGGCTGGTCTTCCTTACAAAAAATAAAATAAATAAATAAATAGGTTCTTTAAAGAAACACTAGGAAAGTGCTGGGTGGGGGGGAGATAATCAGGTTTGCCACAGAAATATCCATCATTTAAATAATCTACATAGTGAGACTGCATTAAGTTTGTTACTGCACCAAAATTACACAAAAGTCATTGCTCTCAGAGTTTTCTGCCACTGCTTACCTCTTTCTTGGCCTGCTTGATGTCTCCCTCCTCCTTGAAGCCCAGCCCTGAGGTGGAGGCCTTCTCAGCCTCCCCTCTGCCTCCCCCAGCCCGGCCTTCCCCACCTTCGCTAGTCTTGAAAGATGAACGGCTATCGGAGTCAGCAAAGCCACCTTCACTGACACTATTGCAGCTCAACCACGAAGCCACCTTGTTCTTGGGTGTCTCTTCAGAGGAAGGTGGATTGCAGCCACCTATAGGGATTGATGGAGGGACAGGAATATGGGGGGGCCCAAGGTCTGGGGGGCGGGAATCCTTGGAAGCTGTCTCAGACAATCCATTCTCCTTCTGGCCCCGGGTCTGCCGCCGGGTAGCATAGCTGCGCCATACTGAGCTGGTGCTGAAGTCCTCATCCTTACAGAAGTTATCATCTGAGCTATCATCATTGGACTCTTCGGGATCCTCAGTACCGCTGTTGCCATCTTCCTGGTCCTTCAAGTCTACACCACTGCTGTCAGAGGAACAGGGGGCATCACTCTCATATCCTTCCTTGAAGTTCTCCACGCTCTCAATATGGTCCAGATTGGCAAAGTACTCATCACCCATTTCCAAGCCCTCTTTGTCTGCGAAGTCATCCGTCAGGATTTTGCCTGGGAGTAAAGAGAAAGACCTTCCAGGGTTATGAGGATCTTTTAGAAAGAATAAGGGTCATTCTATCAATATCCAGCCCACCGCCACACAGAGTCAAAACACCTCCATTATGGTCTCTCGTTTCTCTTTGCTAATACCTCCTCCTTAGTGTCTTAATTATGAGAGTATGGGGAGCTTTCTGTAGTTTTAAATCTTGCCCTTTCTGCCTTCCCATTCCTCCTCTTTACTCTCTTTACCACAAGAGTTCTCAGCTATGCTAAAAGATCTCTGGGTGGAGTACAGTGATAGCGCAGAGCGATGTGGGAGAAAGTGATACACTGGACTCCACTATCATGTCTCTCCTCTGAAACATCATATCCACAATTTCATCCCTTTTCATTCTTGTCCTTGGGAAGCATTTTTGTCCCTCACTGGTCCACCCAGACACGCAGATCACTTGTCATGTTCTTTACAGAAGAAAATCCTGGCCTTCCTCTTACTCCCCGTTCATATTCAAGCATTTTATTCTTATGTTCAACTTGTCTCTGCTTCAATTCCCCACAATGTCCTAACCCCAGAAAGCAACACTTTCGTTTCATCACCAACCTGCATAAATACAGACAAAGGAGCCTTTGGCAATGTCATCCAAGCAGCGGATACCCCAGCCCTTGTTCTGTGTCTTGAATAGCTGTAGCCGAACCTGTAGTCCATGCTGTACCAACCGGTTTGTGCACATGTTTGGGTCACATTTGCAGCGTTTATTACACTCATAAACTCTGGGAGAAGGTTACAATAAAATCAATCATAACACGATCACTAGAGCATCCATTATCCATTAACTCCACAGAACTGTTATAATTCTTAAGGTATCATCGTTTATTAGGTAATGATCTAAGTAAGTGGATTTAGTGAACTGTCTATGCTCTTTGATTCATTTGGGAATACAGCCCAAGGAAATAATTCAGAGGGGGAAAAAATGATTTATACAGATATTTACAGCATTACAGTTACTATCGGTGAATACCAGAATGCCTAATACCTGGAGAAAAACTAAGCAAACTATGATATGAATACAAGTTAAGAGCCATTAAAATAAGGAGATAGACTATGTCAATTTGTAGAAATAGATGCATACAGGGCCGTCCTTGTGGTGGTTGAGCGCGCGCGCGCTCTGCTGCTGGCGGCCCGGGTTCGGATCCCGGGCGCGCACCGCTTCTCTGGCCATGCTGAGGCCGCGTCCCACATACAGCAACTAGAAGGATGTGCAGCTATGACACACAACTATCTACTGGGGATTTGGGGGAAAAATAAATAAAATTATTAAAAAAAAAGAAATAGATGCATACAATAAAGATACATGAGAAAAGCAGAAGTCAATATAACAGCCAACTGAAAGTGAGTACAGAGGAGAAACTGGAACTCAAGTTCATGGGATTCTTTCTTTTGGTAAAGTTGATTTTCATCCTTTTATTCAGTGACCATTTATTAAACACCAAGAACTGTGCTAGACACCAGGAATACACAATAACAGACAAGGTCATAATCGTTCCCCCCAGGCAACTCCTATTCTATCTAGTTTAAGGAATTTAACAACTTAGCTATTTTAAAAATAAACTACTAAAGTTAATCGGAGACCTCTAGCAAATATCAATATTAAAGGAAGATAATATTAGTTATACTGAGAAAACTGTCATCTTTTTAGGTATCAACGTTTCTGCTCTATCTACTTTGCTCAGTGTTAGGATTTTACTTATTTCCTTGGTACGTAAATTTAAAGGAGACATTTACTTTTGGAAAGATGACAACAGTACAATTAAGTTGGTTGATGACATTAATTATATCCCTCCGGAGAAAGACGGTAAGAGCAGCTTCTATTTACGGAACATATACTTTGTGTTTGGCATTATGTCAACGCTTACATACATTCTCTTATTCTATTCTCAAAGCAGCCCTACAAGGGTTTTCCTAACTTTAAAAAAAGTATTAAAGCGTAATATACACAGAGAAAAGTACACATAAGTCTACGGCTCAATGAATTTTCTCAATGAACACACCATGTGACCAGCACCACATCAAGAGACAACTTTGTTAGGTCTCTTAAAACTCCCCTGGGGATGGGGGGTATTAGTGTTCACATCCTCTGTTTATAGCTGATAAAGCAGGATCCGCTGAGAAGAGACAAGGCCAGAATCTGAACTCTGGTCTAATCATCATGATATGAAACTTTCAGAGCAGCTACACTGAGTATCATTCATTCATTCAACAAAATTTGAGTGATTACTATATGCCAGGCACTGGGTAAGTCAGCTGCTGGTGATACAATGGTGAGCAAGATTGCCAAGGTTCATCCTCCCATGAAGCTTATATTCTAACGGAAAAAACAGAACAAAAACAAGTGAACAAATAAATGAAAGTAGTCACAGATGCTATAAAGGAGCCGAACGGGGTACTCAATGAGAGAATTAAGGGAGTGAAAATGACCTGGTTTTGAGTGACCAGGAAAGGTCTCTCTGAGAAGGTGAGATTAAAGCTGAGAACTCAAGGTTAAAAAAGAGAGCCACGCAAAGAACAGTGGAAGGATGCCAAGAAGAGGGCACAGTATGTACAAAGGCCCTCGAGGTAGGCTGGCAAACACTGGGTGAACTGGATCCAGGAACTGAAGAATATCAGTGTGGTTGGAATAGTTTTGGAGAGAGAGAGATAACAGGAAGGGGCCAGATAGTACTGTGTCTTGTGACTCAAGATTAAAATTCAAAGTGCAGTGGGAAGCTATTAATGAGTTTTAAGCAGGGGAGTGACATATTATTTGTAGTTATTTGAAAATATTTTTAAGAAACATTTCAAACACGTAAAAAAGACATAATGAACAACCATGTAGCTACCACCCATATCAAATCTAAACATTGTTACAAGAGTCAAATTTTTTGTTTACAATTAAAACACAAATGATACACTGATGTAACCAAAGCTTATAACTGTCTTTTCCTTTGCTTAGTTTTCAATATGCATTCAGCACAAATTCATCTCCTGGTTTCCCCAGTAGTCTCAATCTCCTCTGAAGATACTCAGACACATCAGGTTTTCTAGCAAACCCATTTTCCCAAAGAAGTCTCTCTTGCGTCAGATCTGACCTGCTCTCACACTGGCTGCTCTCTACTCCTAGTGCACAGCTGTCAGGCCGGAAGCCCCCTTCACACTTCATTATCATCTGTGGGATTCCCCTCACTCCTCTTTTGAGTTGGATCCTCTGTTTCCTGGATCAGTATGCCTTCCTCTCTCTTGACTTTTTCCCTCATGGTAAACATCTCCAGTGACTTTCTGAGAAGGAGAATAATGGAAAATTTTGAGGTATTTTATGTCAAAAAAAAGTCTTTAGCCTACTTTAACACAACTGATAGTTTTCCTGGGTTTAGAACTCTAGGACTGAAATATTTTTCCCTTAGAATTCTGAATAGATTCCTCAATTGCCATGTGTAGCTTCCCATGTTATTTTGAGAAGGCTGAAGTCATGCTGCGCCTTTATTTTTTTGTGGTCTACTGCTCTTCTCTAGAAGCTTTTGGGATTTTCTCTTTGTCCTCAGTATTCTGTGGACACAATGATCACATTTTATTATCATGTGTTTTAGTGGGGATCTATTTTTTTTTTTTAATAATTTTATTTATTTATTTTTCCCCCAAAGCCCTAGTAGATAGTTGTATGTCATAGCTGCACATCATTCTAGTTGTTGTATATGGGACACGGCCTCAGCATGGCTGGAGAAGCGGTGCATCAGTGCGCGCCTGGGATCCGAACCCGGGCCGCCAGCAGCGGAGCGTGCGCACTTAACCGCTAAGCCACGGGGCCAGCCCAGTGGGAATCTATTTTCATCCACTATGCTAGGACTTGAATGGGCCTTTCAATTTGGAAACACAAACCCCTCAATTACATGAAAATTTCTGAATTATTTCATTGATGCTTTTCTCTTCTTCTGTTAATTATGTATCTTTTTTTTGTTTTGTTTTTTTTGTTTGTTTGTTTTTTAAAGATTTTATTTATTTATTTTCCCCCCCAAAGCCCCAGTAGATAGTTGTATGTCATAGCTGCACATCCTTCTAGTTGCTGTATGTGGGATGCGGCCTCAGCATGGCCGGAGTAGCAGTGCCTCAGCGCGTGCCCGGGACCCGAACCCGGGCTGCCAGCAGTGGAGCGCACGCACTTAACCACTAAGCCACTGGGCCGGTCCTAATTATGTATCTTGAACACTAAGCTTATTAGTTCACATGTTCACGTATAACCAATTTGCATCCCGCTCTCTCATTGTCCTCTTTCCCTGACCTGTCTTTCTCAATCTCACATGCTGGCTTCACCTCCTCGGCTCAATCTCTAAATGCTGGAGAGCCCAGGGCTTACTTCTGGGACACCTTCTCTTCTCTATTATCAATATTCTCTCTAAATAAACTCATCCAAGTTTTAAATAGTACTCCTGTGCTACTGATTCCTAAATCTTTAGGTCCAGCCCTTACGCTTCTCTCCAGCAATCTCACTGCCTTCTTGACATTTCCACTCGGACTGCCTAACAGGCACCTCAAACTTAACGTGGCCAGAATAGGAGCTGAATTTCACTCAGGCCTGCAATTCCTCTGGTCTTCCATTTCAGTAAAAAGCACCAACATCCACTTAGTTGCTGAGGTATAAAATTTAGGAATTATCCTTGATTCCTCCCCTTCCCTCCTACTCCACAGTCAACCTATCAAGTTCTGTAGCTCTACCTCCAAGTGCATCCCAAATCTATCCTCTTTTTTTTTTTTTTGTGAGGAAGATCAGCCCTGAGCTAAGATCCACGCTAATCCTCCTCTTTTTGCTGAGGAAGACCGGCTCTGAGCTAACATTTATTGCCAATCCTCCTCCTTTTTTTTTCTCCCCCCCAAAGCCCCAGTAGATAGTTGTATGTCATAGTTGCACATCCTTCTAGTTGCTGTATGTGGGACATGGCCTCAGCATGGCTGGAGAAGCAGTGCGTCGGTGCATGCCCGGGATCCGAACCTGGGCTGCCACTAGTGGAGCGTGCCCACTTAACCACTAAGCCACGGGGCCGACTCTATCCCCTTTCATCTCTACTGCCACTTTCATTCTAGTACAAGCCCCAGCAACCACTACCTCTCACCTGTATTCCTATAATTATCTCCTAACTGGACTTCCAAAATTCTAGTTTTGCTACCCTAAGACCTATTCTCCACATAGAAGCCAGAGTAATCTTCAAAAGGCTAATCACATCATTTGCCTGCTTAAAATTCTCTAACAGCTTTCTACTGCACCATGAATTTGATTCTAATTTTTGTTCTGATTTATCAAGTCCTATACAATCAGGTCCCTAGCTACTTCTTTTTGAACACATCTCACTTACCAGAGTAAGCTACAATCTGTTAGGACACTCATACAGCTATGAAATTAAGGTCACCTTTTACCACAATAGAAAATTACCAGACACTATTTAATCATTCTATGTCTTCATTTCAAGGAAAGCCCAAGGAAGAAACAATTGCTGGGAATTCAGTAAATAAGATTTAATTGATAAAATGCCCATTTCGGTTATTCTAATTTTGGTTCCAATTTTTAGAATTCTGATGGTTCCTACAAGCTTAGAAAAACAAGAACATGCTCCTCAGTCTCTGAGGTGCTTCACTTTTCCCCGACTACTTACCCTGTAGGCAGACACTCTTCTAGTCTCTTGTACTGGTAGCCAGAGTTAGGGTTAATTTGGCCACCTGGGGTGCAGGCTGTAGCCTGGATAGTTAGCTGATGGCAGGCACACTTGGACCTGTATGAGACAGAAAGGTACAACAGCTAGAGCTGTAAGACTTGCTTTAGATGCCAGAAGTACTACTAAAAGGATGGGGATAAGGTACATGTAAATGAGAAAGGAAAAGACAGAGTAAGAATATGACAGAGTGAGAATAAGATAGAGAGACAGAGAATGAAACAAAGTGGCAACTGAAAGCATGATGGAAGGAAATAAAGGAAAAGGAAGAGAATCAGAGAAAGAAACAAACACAAGACACATGTACCCAGGGTTATGCAGTGGGGCCAAGTTAGTCTCCTGCCTCTCTGTCTCACAGCTTTCATGGAGGCCTTACAGTGGGAACTCCAGCTGAGGGAGGAGGTAAGGGAGATGGTGAAAGGGGAAAGGAGTGCAGATATAAAGCAAAGGAAGTGGAAAGGAAGGCAACTACAGCAAAGTTGGAGGTAGGGGCAGGGATTCCCCCACCAACTCACTTGTCCCGGCACCCATCCTTGCAGTCACAGCCAACCAGAAATTCAGGGCCTGTGTTAATGAAAACACCCTTGCCCGGGATTCGCTCCTTGCTGTAGGCCACCTGGGGTGGGGGAGTTGTGTCAATCTCATTGACACAGGATAGGGGAACATCTTCCTTCCCATACGTGATGTCCAAAATATAGTAAAAAGGCTTATAGGGCTGAAACTTCCGGTCCACAAGAACATATGGATCCAAACAGAACATCTCCAGGAAGAGAAAGTCACAGCCAGTCTCAAAAAGGTAGCGTTCGATCTCCTGCATTGTCCGAAGGCAGAGGCCACAGGGTGTTTTATAGATAACATGAAAACCCATCTTGCGGTTAACTCGGCGCCGGGCTGTCATCCTCCGGAAGTCATATAGTAGTGGAACTAGCAGAGGGTTCTTGCCCCGGTATTGCTCACTTCTCATAGGTCTGACTCGAGACAGACAAGCATAGCTGCAGACATGAGGTAAGTAGAAGAGCTTTTCCATTGGCGCACGGTAGGAGGGCTCTGCCGGGGCCCGCTCCAGCATGCCATGGAAGGCTGGAGGGCCTGGAGGGGCTGGAGGGGCTGGAGGGGCTGGAGGGGCTGGAGGGGCTGGAGGGGCTGGGGGTGCTGGGGGTGCTGAGGGTGCTGGGGCAGAGGGTGTTGAGCCTAAAGGTGATCTGCAAATGAGATGCAAGAGATCAGATAAGAAGGCAATAGGACCTCTCTGTTGTATAATTACCCCTCCAGCTGGCTAAGCCACTTCTCTAATCTTTCAAATAGCTGTGCTCTTAAAGCTCAAGATGACACAAGAAAGTCAGATTTTCCCTTGCCTTACTAAACCGGGGCAATGAAATGCCTTGGTTACTCTTCACTGACTGATAATATCTCTATTTCAACAGTATACCTTTTCCTAAAATTTTTCTCCCTGTGAATTATGGAAGTAGAGTCTAGTCTTATACCTATTCTTTTTTTCCTTCTATGTGTCCTATAAATGTCCTTACTGACTCCCACAATTCAAGGCAAGAAGCTGTAGTGCTCCCTTTCTATTGTACCAATGATGGCACCACATTTGATGAGAAGTTTTAACAAGTGACTTGCTGGTGATTCTGTACTTCTAGGCACCTAGTTTCTAATTCAATTATTTTTACACTCTGTTTCTTGGAAATTTCCAAGGTTAAAGCTTTCTTTTCAAGTCCAAATTCCTTACTGTCATAACCTTAACTAAGCCCCTTGGAGCCAAGGAACCTCCCTATACAGTGACCATTCAGTATACACTGCCAACCCCCTGACAGAGAGCCTGAGATTTTCTCACCTATATGTCTGGTTGATCCCAGGTTTCCCACCAGGGGCATTTTCACTGAGTGCAGGGGATGTAGGGGAGGAATGACCAGAGCCCACAGATCCTGGCCGGAAAGAAGTACTCTTTTTGGCTACCTGCTTCCGTGATTGGGCAAGCTGGCTTTCTAAGCTTCTAGGAGATTAGAGAAGAGATCATACAGTAAGGGATACAGAAAATACATTATGAAAGGAACTGGCGAAAAAGAAGGAATAGCACTCACTCATTGTCACCTGCCTGGGGGGACAGAGGTGGGGCAGGCGGGACAGGTGGGGCTGTAGGCTGTGGGGGCTCCAGTGGCTTGAATTGGGTTCCAGTACTGGTCAGATCCTGGGTGTACTGGACCACAGGGCCTTTGCTCCTCACAGCACCTATAGGAAAAAGGAAACTGACCATTGAGAAGATGATAGCTGTGTCACTTATATTCATGCACATGCCTGATCCTCAATTTATATAATATAAAAAAGCAGCAATAGAAACATTTTGAGTAAGTGCTAAGACTGTCAGTTCTCATTATTTACACCAATGAGTGAGACTACTAGCACAGGCTGGCTTTGACTTAAATAATAAGACTTTATCTTCCTGCCTCAGATGATTTACATTAGTAATTATATTACTTTGGTGAAAATTTTCAAAAACGCATTCTTTGATCAACTAATGTTGTCAGGAAAAATCAACCAGAAAGTACATCAGGAACATATAAAAACAAAAACAGTTTGGGTTTAAAAAAAAAATTGATCATAGATAACACATAAAGCAGATAATCCTCATGTGGATAACAGATGTAACTACTATCACCAACATCCCTAACCTAAACCAGTTGTTTCAGATTTTTATGTGGTTGTTTAGAATAAATCAGAGCCATAGCATGTGGAGGCAGCACCACAAATCCATCACCACTACTGGAAACAACTCAGGGCACACGTCCTGTTTCCAATGAGTCAGTAGTGTCATCCTGGTAAACAAAGGATAACCATTGTATACAATCTCCTTTGCTGGTGTCTCCATTTCTTCCCTCCCCCAGGGTATCTTTCAGGACATACCCATATTTGGACGTGTCCTGAGCTGTCCCCCTTGCTTCTTCTCCAGCGCAGATGCTGAGGATGTCTTCATGCTGAACATGGGCTCCAGCCGTGTAGAGCCTCGATAGATCCATTCACATCTTTTGTCATCCTGGGGCATTGCGAGCAAGGGTGGGGGAAATGAGTTAAAGGCTAGAATCTATCCTACCATTTGTGGAGAATATATACCACGTGCCTCCTTGGGGGAAATCTCCCTGAATTCCCTATCTGTTCAATAAACTTATGTGCCAGGCTTCATGAGAGCTATCAGGAATATAAAGAAAAACATATATTCTTTAAGAAATTACAGGAGAGAGAGATGTTTATACTGAGTGTAGGAAGTGTGGCAAGGATCAGAAGGCCCTAGAGACAAAGGGCTGAGATAGCTCAGAGAAGAAATATAGTTCTAAGAAAGGCATAAAAGGGGAGAAAAGGATAGGTACAGAAGATCTTAGAGTTAAATCAGGCCTTGAAAGATCATCAAGACCTCCCAATTCCTTGATCCCTCTTTTTTGTCTCACTATGCTACCAGAACCCTAACCCTGGACAAATGAAACTAGCTGCCTTCTCTGTACCTACATGCAATGTGAATACTCCTAGAGGAAAAAAAAAAAACAAAACACCATGCAGATTAGTGTCATAATTAAAGTTAGGGAATTTATTTTCAACAACCACTCACAGAGGAACAAAAAGAAAGACAAGGTAAATTCTGACCCCAAATAGTGAAAAAAGATAGAGGATAACAAAGAGGAAAACTATGGAGTAGGGGCCGGCCCTGTGGCTTAGTGGTTAAGTGCGCGTGCTCAGCTGCTGGCAGCCCGGGTTCGGATCCCAGGCGTGCACTGACGCACCGCTTCTCCGGCCGTGCTGAGGCCGCGTCCCACATACAGCATCTGGAAGGATGTGCAGCTATGACATACAACTATCTACTGGGGCTTTGGGGGAAAAATAAATAAATTTAAAAAAATTAAAAACAAAACAAAACAAAACAAAACTACGGATTAGCTACAAAATCATCCTCATTATTGCCTCTTATACTTCCCCATCCCACCCCGACCCCTGCCTCCAAAACTCTAGGGAAGAACAGTACCAGGAAGAGGATCCTGACTAGGCTGCCGTCCACCTCCTCAACTCGGGACTTCCACCATGTGCCTTCCCACTCAGTCTTGATAAGCTGGCCACTCTTGAGTAGCACCATGGGGCGGTTGGGGTAAGCAGTGATGTATTCCTCTATGAAGTCTCGGCAGGAGATGTCTTCTATGTCCTCCCAAGTCTTTTTCACTGTCCCAAGGAAGAAGTAGGGGTAAGAGAGGGCAGGTAAGGCATGTCTTGATAGGGAAAAATGGTGGGCAAGGAGACGTTTGGTATTTTTCAAGTTGGGAGGGAGAGAAAAAATAAACGAAGAAATCATAACCTCAAGAAAGCAATACCAAGACCACCTAAAAGTACTGAACCTAACATGTAAATGCACGTAGAAATCAAGTAAACACTAAATAAGCAATATGCAAATATAGGTGAGTTACTCATTTCATAAAAATGGATGTTTCTCCTTAGGAAAATTCAAATGGAAATTTTCGCTAACTTGATATAAGTCTAGAGGTAAATCAAAAAAGATCAGGTGGTATTATGAAATTGACAAAAAACAATTTTATCCTTTCTTCTCACTCTCTACCAGGATTTTAAGGAACTTGAATCCATTTACTGCCATGTTATGTGGACATACAGCAGTGTTAGTTGACGCTTCTGCAATTAAAAACAGTTGCTTCTGGGGGCCGGCCCGGTGGCGCAAGCAGTTAAGTGCGCGTGCACCCCTGTGGCAGCCCGGGGTTCGCCAGTTCGGATCCTGGGCACGCACCGAAGCACCGCTTGTTAAGCCATGCTGTAGCAGTGTCCCATATAAAGTAGAGGAAGTATGGACACGGATGTTAGCTCAGGGCCAATCTTCCTCAGCAAAAAGAGGAGGATTGGCATTAGATGTTAGCTCAGTGCTGATTTTCCTCACAAAAAAAAAAAAAAACAGTTGCTTCTGTAGGAATCTAGCCCCAAGCCAGACTCATAAGTATAGAGGACACCATATAGCACCCATCTAACACAGTTTCTGTAGAAAACACTATGCAGACTACCGATTTATACAAATGTTAGATGAAGTATGAGACTAGGAAAGTAACATCTTCTCAAACCTAAATCACTTAGAAATGAAATAAAAACACATCTACAATATGATGTAGACCCACTCAAGGTCAGTCATGATCTGCTGTCTCACTCTGGATACAAAGACCCAGCACTAGCGATGAGCAATAAAACTGTCTCTCTCAAAGGACATTAATCAAACTTATGATCTTTGAGACTGAAGCACCAAAAACATTAGGGCTTTTCAACTGGTTGTCTTAAGAAGAAATACAAGGCAGAGGAGGAAATGGATAGAACTCTGGAAGAAATGAGGGACACTCACGTGGCCGGCAAATGGGATACAGTTCAGATTGTGTGACATAGGAAGCGTAGCCGTCATCAAAGAAAATGAGAAACCTGTAAGGAAAAGAGTGATGGCAGAAAGATCAGGGGGTTATGATATTTAACATGACCTATGGAAATTATCTTATCATAGCTTCTACTCTTCTGGATCACAAACAGGACACACTCCAGGGAACATGTTCCAGTCTACTACTTTCTCCTGTTATTCTTTCTTCCCACACTAAGAGTTACGAATTCTCCCTTAATCCAATGTATCCCTACTTTTTCAAAAGCTATTTATTCTTGTTCCACTATCAGATTCCAATTCTGCTGAAAACCATTTAGTCTCTACTTCATTTCTTCCTTCATTATGAATTCCCTATCCCCCTATTAATCAATCCTGATTACTCTCCTAGTTTTTCTCCAAGTTTTCTCCTTGAGAAAAGGAACAAAAAAGGACAAAGAATCACCCACAAAGCTTCCCTGAGACTCCTGTGGCAAAGAAAGAGAGAGGGTTTCTGGCCACTGGGGACTAAGAACACAAAAGCTAATTGTGAGATCTGGACTATGGCTTGGAACAAGGCAGGTGTTGTGCTCCCAGTCTCCACTCTCTTTATAATCCTCTGTCCAGGTACCTGAGCTTGTTTTTGACGTTTGGTGTCTCAGCTACAATGCCAGCATAGAGCCAGACCTGATTCCCATCTTTGTATTTGGCCACCACTCGACTGCCCACATACAGCTTGTCAGCAGGAGGGTGGTAATCATAGGCAATATGGTTCCCCGACAGTAAACTCTTTCCTTTGTTGTCAAATTTCACCTTGTACTTCTTTCCTGGCCCTGAGTAAAAGGGAAAGATAAACAAAAATTTTAAAAACTCATCAGTTTCTGTGTAAATTCTGGCTGCTAGGTGAGAGACAAAAGGCAAGGCTGTGGGGAAAAGAAACAATCAGCAATGGAGACCTGCAGGTTGCCTTTCATTAGTTCTTCCTCTAGCTTGAACATACCAACCGTCTGGATGGCAATAAGGGTGCCTTTATGCCACGTCTTAGTTCTCTTCTTGCCCAGAATGCGCATGCTGACTATGAGGTCACCATCTTTGCTCAGTTCTCCAGATATCTGACTCAAGGTTCCTAGGGAAGAAAGCAAAGTTTTTCTAAAGAGATATGGCATAGATTGGGAAGAGAACAGAAAAGTAAAGAGGATAGTAGGGTAATCAAGGAAAATGGGGTAATTTTTGATCCTTAGCCATTTTTGCTGCTCTCTTGGCCAGGGGCAGAAAGACAAGACACAGCTGACTCAATTGCTTATGCTAACAAGAAAACTTAAATACTGCAATTCACATGTGATTCACGAACATCTCACTTTAACCAAATGTTTCTGACTCCTTATTAACAACAATATTAACCACCACTCATTAAATGCTATGTAGCATTTATAAAACATTTTCTCATAGGAGATCTATTAACAGCTCCATTCTACAAACAAAGCTTCCCTGAGACCTCTTTATAAGAGTTTGAATTCTCTTTTCTCTCTAATCTCCATCTAGAAGAAGCAGTCACGAGCATGAAGCTAAAAAGGTATTTGGATAAAACCATGACAGACTGGAAAATCAGCAGACAAATGATTTAAGCAGACAACAAGGAGCACAACATCACAAATAACCTTATATTGACTTATATAGCCTGTGGTGTTAAAAGAACCCAACAGAGGTAGAGAAGGATTCTGAGATGCTAAAACAAAGCCAGTTATTCATGAAATCTCTGTAGGAATTCACCCCCCACCTGTACCGAGGTACCTCCTGACTCTAACCTTTATGTAAATCCTGGGAACTGCTCTTCTTGTTGACAGCATCCATGAACTTCTGGACATCTTGAGCCGACTTTCTTAAGGCAGCCATAGCTTCACGGAGCTGTAAGGAAGGGGATGAGGGAAACAAGTTTTAAAACAAGTCCATGGGTTAGAAATAACTTGAGAATAAGAACTTGTCTTTCAAAAAACAAAATAGAATGAGCTATGTTTGCAAGCTTATGGTTACTTTATCAGGCAAAACTGCCTTTTCTTACAAATTTGGTTCAGTAATCAGCTTTAGGAAGCTCTCCTTGATTAATCTCACCTAGTTGATCACCACCAAATTCTACATTCATATAGCACTCAGTGCATTTATCTCTAAGTAACTTCTTCTGCATTCTTATAACATCTATTAGAAGCCTGCACATAGAGCTGATTACAGGCTGAAGGATTACATGTCAATGGCTGAAGTGACTGAATGGTCAGGCCAAAAGTTTCTCCCATCTTCATATTCGTTTTTTTATTTTTGTGAGGAAGATCAGCCCTGAGCTAACATCCAACACCAATCCTCCCCCTTTTTGTGAGGAAGATTGGCCCTGGGCTAACATTTGTGCCCATCTTCCTGTATTTTATATGGGATGCCGCCACAGCATGGCTTGACAAGCGGTGCATCAGTGCGCGCTGGGGATCCGAACCTGCGAACCCTGAGCCGGCAAAGCAGAAAACGCGCACTTAACCGATACGCCACCAGGCTGGCCCCTCATTTTCATATTCTTATCTCTCACCCTTCCCTTACCTATCCCAACTCACCTTCTGGTCTTTTGGAGTTCTGCTCCCAGCATCACCTATGGATGAGAAATCTCTAATGAGTGTAAGAGACTTACACATTAGAATTTCTAAGAAATCAAGAACTAAGCTACTTAAAAGCATTATCATGGAAGCATTATAACAACTGAAAACTAGATATAGATATATATACATATGTAAAAGTACCAAAAGAGTCCAGAAAGATACACAGCAAATAGGTGACAGTGCTTACCTGGAGATAAAGTACTGAGACAGGTGGTAGTCTACGGGATTTTGGGTTTTCACTGTATATTTGAATTTTTATAATAATAATTACTTATAGATTATTTGAATGATTTGAAAAATGAGATGTGGTCAATGAATTAAGCAAAAATGTTTATTCTTGAGTAGTGCTGAGCAACAGAACTTCCTGCTATGATAGAAATGTTCTATATCTGCACTGTCAAATCTGTTAACATTGGCTAATAAGCACATGAAATGTGGCTAGTGCAACTGGGAAATGAACTTTAAACTTCATTAAGAAACTTTTTTTTTTAATTCAAGTGTAATTCACATACTAAAAAATTTATCCATTTAAAATGTTTAACTCAGGGGCCAGCCTGGCGGCGTAGCCGTAAGTGCATGTGCTTCGCTGCTGGCGGCCCGGGTTCGGTTGGGCCCGGGCAGCCCCGGCATGGATGTTAGCTCAGGGCTGATCTTCCTCACAAAAAAAACAAAAATGAAATGTTTAATTCAGTAGTTTTTAGTATATTCACAAGGTTGTACAACTATCACCACTTTCTAATTCAGAACATTTTCGTCACCCCAAAAAGAAACCCCACTTACTACTTTTTGGGGTGATGAAAATATCCATTAGCAGTAACTCCCCATTTCACCCTCCCCTCAACTCCTGGCAAGCACTAATCTACTTTCTGTCTCTATGGATTTGCCTATTCGGACATTTCATATAAATGAAGTCATACTATATGTAGTTCATCACATGAGGTTCATCTCTTATGCAGCAATTATCAGTACTTACTTCCTTTTTATGGCTGAATAATATTCCATTGTATGGATACACCATACTTTGTTTATCCATTCACCAGTTGATGGACATTTTGGGTTGTTTCCCCCTTTTGGCTATTATGAATATGCTGATATGAACATTTGTGTATGAGTTTTTATGTAGACATATGTTCTCATTTCTCTAGGGTATATCACTAGGAGTGCAATTGCTGGGTCATATTTATGTTTAACGTTTTGAGGAACTGAAAAACTCTTCCAAAGTGGCTGTACCATTTTACATTCCTACAAGCAATTTAGAGGGTTCCAATTTCTCCACATCTTCATCAACACATGTTGCTATCTTTTATAGCCATCCTAATGATTATACAGTGGTTTTGACTTGCATTTCCTTAATGACTAACGATGTTGAGCATCTTTTCATATACTTTCGGCCATTTACACATCTTCTTTGAAGAAATATCTATTCAAATCCTTTGCCCATTTTTTAATTGGATCACTTATCATTTTATTCTTGAGTTGTAAGAGTTCTTTGTGTTCTGGAAAATACTAGACCTTTCACATTTCACATAATTTAAATAGCCACACGTGAATAGCAGCTACTGTATTAGACAGTGCAGTTTTAGAGATCTGGAACATATATTTAAAAATGGATGGGGGCCGGCCCGGCGGTGTAGCAGTTAAGTTTGTGCGCTCTGCTTCAGCGGCCTAGGGTTTGCAGGTTCGGATCCCAGGCATGGACTGACGCATGGCTTGTCAAGCCATGCTGTGGCAGCATTCCACAGAAAGTAGAGGAAGATGGGCACAGATGTTAGCTCAGGGCTAATCTTCCTCACAAAACAAACAAACAAGTAAATAAATAAATCCCTTAAAAAAAAAAAAGGAAAGCAATGGTGGTAATCATTTCACAATATATACATATATCAAATCATTACGTTTTACACCTTAAACTAATACAATGTTATATCTCAATTATATCTCAATAAAACTAGGGAAAAATAAAAAATAAAAATGCAAAGCAATGTAAACATCCTAAAATAACAAAATGGCTAAATACACTGTAACATATCCAAATGAGGTTTATAAAGAATCTTCAACAACATGAGGCAATGCTAATGATATATTACGTTTTAAAAGCTAGGATAAGGGCCGGCCCGTGCTTAGTGGTTAAGTGCGCGCGCTCCGCTGCTGGCGGCCTGGGTTCGGATCCCGGGCGCACACCGACGCACCGCTTCTCCGGCCATGCTGAGGCCGCGTCCCACATACAGCATCTGGAAGGATGTGCAGCTATGACATACAACTATCTACTGGGGCTTTGGGGGAAAAATAAATAAATAAAAGTTAGGATACAAAACTATTTATTTGATATGAACCCAACCTTGGAGAGAATACACAGACACACACCTGTGCATGTGCACACATTTCTCAAAGAGCTGTGAATGTGGTATGATTAAATACATGTTATCTTAGAACTGCACAGCTGTAAAAGGCTTCAAAACACATATTCTATATATGAGGAAGGACAGTTATTAATCTTATAGGGCTTTTATTTTTACTTTTAAAATACATTTAAATACATCCATGTGATAAAAAAATTCAAATATTATAAAAGAACACACAGTGAAAAACAAGTCTCCTTCCCACCCCTGCTTCTAGCTACTCTCCTCAGAAACAGCTAATATTATCAGTTTCTTTTGCAGCCAAAGATATTCTGTAAATGTACATATGTATTCTCTCCCCCCACCCTTTTACTCATATTTAACATGCAGTTTTTATGTTGCTTTTTGTTCCCACACTTAAAATATCTAGGAAAGTATTTCCTATCAGCACCTATAAAATCTGTCTGATTCTTTTTTTCCCATTTTTTTTTTACTGTAGTAAAATACCCATAACATAAAAACTACCATCTTAACCATTTTTAAGCATACCGTTCAATGGTATTAAGTACATTCATAATATCATTGTGCAACCATCACTGCCATCCACATCCAGAAGTTAAGACATGGGGAACAGAACAGAGGGAGCGTAAGGGAGTATAGGAGACATTAGTTCAAAGTGATCAAGGCAGTAATCTGTGTGAAAGGCCTGAATTAAATGTCAAGCTCTGCTAAAAATATAAGCAGAAACTTTATGCCAATAAATCGAAAACTTAGACAAAATGGATAAATTACTAGACAACTACAAATTACCAAAACTGACTCAAAGAAATAGAAAAGGTTTGTACAAAGAAAACAGAAACCTAGATGGCTTTGCAGGCAAATTCTATCAAACATTCAAGGAAGAGATAATTCCAATCTTGCAAACACTTCCCAAGAATTAAAAGAAGAAATACTGCCTATTTCATACTACAAGCCCACCAAAATCTCAATATTAAAACCAAAGAAGGATAGTACCAAAAAAAGAAAATTATAGGCCTATGTCTGTTACAGAAGTAAAGATGCGAAAATCCTAAATACCAGCACAACAAATCCAGCAACGTTTAAAAAAGATAATATCGTGGGGTCAGCCTGGTGGCATAGTGGTTAAGTTTGCGCACTCTGCTTCGGCGGCCCAGGGTGAAAAGAACCTAGACATCCATGAAGAACAACAAAGTGAGGTTACTGGAGTTAACAGACATAAAAACTATAAAGCCACAGTGATACAGTATAGAACTGATATAGGAAGAAATGACAGAAAATGAAAATAATAATAATAGAAAGTCCAGAAACAAACCCACACACACATATACAAATAATTTATGATAAGAGTAGGCAATGTAAATCAGTAGGAAAGAACTCATTTCAATAAGTGGTGCTGGAAAATTGGTTAATAACCATATCAAAAAAAGAAACGGAATCTTTACCTCAAATACTATACAAAAAATAAATTCCAGTTGGATTAAAAAGTTAAATGTGAAAGGCAAGACTATGAAACTTTCAAGGGCAATATAAAAGAAAATCTTCATAGCCTCAGGGCAGAAAGGATATAAGAACTAATGACCATAAAAGAAAATGCTGAAATTAGAACTTCTGTTTATCAACAAATAACATAAAAAGTAAAGATAAATCATAAGCTGGGAGTGATATTTGCAACTACTAACTGCAAAGTTAGTACTTATAACATATAAAGATTTCCTATGAATCAAAAAAAGACAAATGACCATTGAGCAAATGAGCAAGAGACATGAACAGACACCTCAAAGAAAAACTACAGATGACTCACAAACACATGAAAAGATTCTCAAGGTCACTAGTAGTCAGGGAAATCAAATTTAAAATCATAATACCAAGTGTTGTCAAGGATGTGGAGCATAGGGCACTCTCATCTACTGACGGTATAAATATAAATTGGCACAACCACTTTGGAAAGCTGTTTGGTCATTAATTATGCAGTGAGGTTGAAATTTCCATATCCTAAGCACTAGCAACTCCACTCTTACAGTATATATCCTAAAAAGATTCTTGCACATGTGCCTCAGGAGTCATGTACACGAATATTTACAGCATTATTTGTAATTGCAAAAAAACTGAAAACAGGGCCCAGCCAGGTGGTGCAAGTAGTTAAGTGCATGCGCTCTGCTGCGGCAGCCTGGGGTTCGCTGGTTCGGATCCCGGGTGCGCACCGACGCACCACTTGGCAAGCCGTGCTGTGGCAGCGTCCCATATAAAGTGGAGGAAGATGGGGATGGATGTTAGCCCAGGGCCAGTCTTCCTCAGCAAAAAAAAAAAAAACCTGAAAACAAATGAAATGCCAGCTGTTAGGAGAATAGATAAATTATGGCATATTCATATGATGGCATACCATACTGCAGTAGCAACTGAACTAAGCATCACTCATCAGCATGAGGTTGAAGAAGTCACTGAAGAATGCATAAGGTGTGTATGATTCCATTTATACAGTTCAAAAATAGGCAAAACTATGGTACTTCTGATAACAGTAATGTGAAAAGGCTGGACAATTCCCCTGAGCAGAAAACAAGTATAAAACTGGACAAAACTGTCAAAAACAATCATTTCAGGGCGCTGGAAGTTGACCAAAGGCAAAACACAGATTGAGA